TTTATTATAATTACCTTTATTAAGAAATCTTCCTACTGGACTCATCGAATGGTCTTTAAATAGCTTTTAATGTCTTCTTAATCCTTATGCTAAAAAATCTATATAGTATTCTATTAGGTAGTTCTAACATGTATGTGAAGATACACTGTATTTTTGAGAAATGTAACAATATATCAAATGTTCTTTATTAATATTTTTGAGTTTTATTAAATAATATATCACAAAATTATTGCAAAATAAGTAGAACTATATAATAATGGAAATATTCATGTTAAATTATGCTGAAAAATGTGTCTAATTTAATTAAATATTATCTCTTAATTTACACAAGAGGTTAAAGTTCTGTAGGCTATATTTCAAACTAGAGATTAATTGAAATTAATATTATTTGATTATTATAGTAATCACTGCATAGTTATACACAATTAATATTGTATAAATTGTAACATATTACATAATAATTGCTTAATACACAGTAAAATAACTTAGACTATTTTTAGTTCAATAATTACTGCATCTATGTATTACAAAAACAGTAAAAATTCATGAGAATTTTAGTGTATTACAGTAAAAAACAGTTTTTCAAAAAATGCTAGCATTGTTGCATTAATTACACAGAATAATTAGAAATTAATCTGATTTGCTAATTTGAATAATAGTTTATCTGTCTGTCTAAAAGTTTAAGTAAGGCTAAAAGTTTAGCCTGATTTGAATCTAAGCAAAAATTCTAAAGACATACAATTTGAATTATAACAAACTTACTGCAAGTAGCTTAGCAATTATGTGACTGCTGTATTTGTAATACAAAAACTTAAAAAAATATTTTCAAAATTGATATTATACAAACCTAGTTTAGTCATATAATTTAAAGATTACATAACCTGATTTTGAGTTATGTGATTAGGATAGTATATTACATAATTTATATCACAATACCTAAATGATTTTCTTAGATTAAATCATATAAATAGCATGTAACTAATAGATAAACATTTTATTAGTTGCTGTGAAAAAACTTTTTATTGGTTAAAGGTTAGAGTTAGGGTTAGAGTTAGATTTTATTTAGTTGGAATATGTTAAAAATAAAGAAGTTTTTTAAGAAAAATCAAAATGTAAGCTATTTATATTCGAGAATTAATAGTAATAAATTATTTATAGAATTAAACAGTTACTTATTATTAATTTACTTTTATTAAAAAATCTTCTCACCAGACTCATTGAACAGTCTTTAAATAGCTTTTAATATTTTCTCAATTTTTATGCTAAAAAAAATTTATATAATATCCTATTAGGCAATTCTGATATATACATAAAAGTATATTATATTTTTAGAGAATGTGACAATATATTAAATATTTTTCCTTATCATTTCATTTGAGTTTTATTAAATAATATATTACAATTCATTATAAAATAAGAGGTAAAACTATACAATAATAGAGATATTCACATTAAGTTATGATGAGAAATACGTCTAATTTAATTAAGTATTATTTCTTAATTTACACAATTAGTTAATATTCTGTAGGCAGTTTTACGTCAGAGATTAGCTAAAATTAAATATATTTAATTGACACAAAAATCACTATGTAGTCATATGTAATTAATTATGTATAAATTACAAATATTGTATAATAATTACATTATATATAGCAAAAATAACTTAAATTAATTTTAGTTCAATATTTACTGCACTTGTGTGATAAAAATAGCAAAAGTTTCATAGAAATTTATTATACTACAGTAAAAAACAGAGTTTTTTCAAAATGTAAGCATTATTATGCTAATTATGTGAACTAATCAGAATTAATCTAATCTGCTGATCTGGATAATAGTTTACCTATTTACCTAAAAGTTTAGGTAAAGGCTAAAAATTTAACCAGGTTAGAACTTGAGTAAAAGTTTAACCAAAGATGCATAATCTGAGATTATACCTAAAGATTAGATCATAGATTATATAGCCTGATCAATGATTACTAAAACTGATACTATATGTAATTTCATATAAACTACTATTAAAATGTGATATTGCATTTTCTTTAAAATGAGCAAATTGATTTAAAATCAATTTAATATGAAAAAAATTATAATGTGAGAATAATAAAATATAAAACTTTATGAATATCTTATTTTTTTAGGTTTTAAATTTATATTTTTAAAAAATAGTATCAGTTATTAAAATATCTTAAATTTATAGGAAATTTTGATATTTACTTAAAATAGTAAGTAGAAAAAGAAAAAAAAATATACTATTTAAATAATTTTAATAAAATATTTATAACTTTATCATTAATAGTACTAAAAAAATACCTAAACAAAAATAATGATAATTTACTACTATCAAAGTGGTTAAAAAGCAGAAGAATTATAAGAACTTATATATATTAGGCCTGATTTTAAAGAAAAAAATATTATATTTTTTTCCAATATTAGATAAATATTTTGAAGGTGTGCTAATGATGATGTGAGAGAAAAGAAAACTTAGTATATAGCATTAAAGATAATTGTAAATTTGATTTATTTTTTAAATAGATAAATTGATTGAAGAAATCAAATTATTTTAAAAAAAAAGATCAGCTATTGTTACTATTTTTTTGAAATCCAATCCTACTAATTCATCAATAGCATTTATTTTTATATAGATTATATATCATACCCATATTGGAAAGTTACATCATTAATAAATACTGCAGATATTCTTTTATTAATTCAAAAAAAAGGTTTTATCTGAAGGAGAATTTGCTGGAATTGCAATATAATAAATTATTAGAGAACTTGAATTTAATTTTTTTAGAGAGGAACAATAAGAAAAAAAGTTACTAATTCTTTCTAAATATAATGTGTATAAATATGAAGTTTATGTATTTGATTAATTAGTACAAAAAATATATCTTACTGTTCTAATTAAAGAGATAGAAAGGATACTTGATAAAATAATTAATTTTATTAGATATATTTTTGCTGTTAGCATTTATCATAGAATGAGTACATGTGGTAATATATTTTTAAATTAATTAAATTATTTTTATTTTTATTTATTTATTATTTTTTTATAATTTTAAAGATTTAAAGATGTAACATGCATTCGTAATACTCAACTTATTAGCAATAAAAAAATACTTCTTTTGCTTTAATAAAAAAAAAGATTAACCTGAAGAAATATATCAAAGAATAGATTACACACTTATAGTAAAAGAAGGAAGTATATGTAAAAATTATGCAAAATTACAAAAAATAATACAACAAATTCAGAAAAGAGTTTAGCAGAAACAAACTCTGTAAAAGTAATATATGTATCAAAGGAAATTCTTGTAGAAAAGGTTAATTAACAAAGAAAAGTTATTAAGGAATAGAATTAATTATTAATTTAAAAAAGCATCTAAAAGAGAAAATTAACGAAAGCAGTCCGGAAATCCAAACGAAAGATTGAAAAGAAAAAAGGGGAAGTATCAAATAACATTGCAAATATTATTCATACTGTTGCTAAAGATATTAACAATAAATCTGTAGATATTTCTACTATTTATCCTATTTTTCAGGAACTTATTCATATTCATACTGGTAAACCAAATGGAACAAGATATTATCTAATATAAGATTATTAATTTATATTTATTTTACATATCAATATAAAAAAACTCATTTTTTTTACTTAATAGGTTTTTACATTAGGCTATATCTGTATACATTAGATCTGATTATGCAACATATGATGCAATGAAAACTATTATGCATTTATCATCAATTTTTACGCTCAAAAGTTATATTAACAAATGTGAACAATAAAAATCTGAATGGTAAGATAAAATTGCTTATCAGATATTATCTAGCCTAACAAAAAACAAAATTTGGGGATATAGGTGAATAGGATTTTTTCACATGATTTTTTTAAAATTCAAAAAGGTAAAAAATGATTATTGTTAGTATTTTTTAAAATTTTATAAATATATTTTATTTTTTAAATAGGTCTTTGGAATCAATGTGAGAACTGTTATATTGGTTATCTGAACTTTGAAAATAGAATGTAAAACTATCAAGCATTTGCTATGCAATGTCAACATGAACTAGAATCAACATCAACAGAAATTCATTCTTTATCTAATTCTATACTTATTAAACAAAAAAATGAACTTGCAACTCAAATCTATCAAAAAGTTTGACATTCAATAAAACACAATTTTGCATTTCCCATATATTATTATGGTATTAATAATATGATAGCACATAGCTTAAATTCATTAATTTTTAGTCTTGCAGCCAAATTAGATGTATAGATATACATACATATAGTTCAATTTGTGATGAAGCAAGCGGAAAATAGAGTATATATTAAAAGTTTGATTGGTATGCATCAAAATGGTCTTTTGAGACATTGTAGAAGTTAATTTAATAAAGATAAAAAATCTTTTCATGCAGCAAAAATTATAAGTAATAATTTTGAAAGACCAAAATTTATTGTATGTCAAATTGATTGTGACAATTCTAAAGAAATTGAAATTGATCGAAATTTTATTCATCCACCAATGCCCTTAAAATTTGAATGGAATGTTACTCTTCCGATTCTTTTAAGCTTGATACTTGACACGTAAGATCTCATCCTTAGGTATTTGATAACGAACCAAACTGCGGTCCGCTTTGAGCATTAAATCAGTACTTATTTTTTTTATATCATTATAAATTGACCGTTGGAAAGATTTTTTGTCAGAAAAGAAACCCCTTGATCCACTATTTTTAATAAAGATCGCGAGTCATCAGGATTAACTTTTAGTCTAATTTCAGTTTCTAATACAGGAGTTTCCTCGGCAGATTTCTACATCTAACTTTATCAAATATTTTTTTTGCCTCGTTCAAATCATGGAACGTAATCTCGAGAAATTTTGAAATTAACTTAATTGCTGATAACGCATATAACTGGGCTTCTAAAAGTCGGTTAGAGACATATAAGCATAATGCGATATTTCCTCGTAATCTTACTTGTTCTTTTAGTTGTATAGCTATATCTACAATTTACATGCTGCTCTATATTCTTGATAGGCCTGTAATCCATAACTTATGCTATTAAACTCCAGTTCTTCAGAAGAGAATCCGCTGATGTCATCTTTATCTAGAATTTTTAATTTATCCCATTGTCCATTAGCTGCATTACGGTACCAATCGTAATTTTCCAAAGTACACTCCCCGGTCAAAAGTATTAGACCAAAAAAAAAGTTATCGCAACTTTTAAATTTATGACTAATTTTAATT